AAAAAAATTAGTTCGGATGTGCTATGGCCTCTTTGTTTCATCATTTGACATTTGCATCCAAATGATCCACATCTAATAAATGATTCATTTGGATGATGCATTTCAATGATGTTTATTTGATCAGTTGGTAGTTTATCTAAATGATGCATTTAAATGAATTTTTGTTTGTTTGATCATTTTGTAGTTCATCCACATTCTCGTCTAGACAAAAATGACAAAAATAGTCATGCTTTCATTTTAACAAATATCAACATCATTACCAAATATCAATACCAAACAAATCTCGAACATATCAATACCAAACAAATATCAAACATATCATATTTTTAATGGGAAAAATGTCGAAAAATTCGCCAACTTTTAAATTTGGGACGATTAAAGCATGAACTCTCGAAATGTCTCTTTAATCACAAAGTTTCTGTTGACCAGTCTAAAAATAACAAAGTTTGAGTTGACCTGGCCAAATTAGGCATCACGTTAAGTCTCCGTTAGAACGATTTTGACACTATTAACATGCCATCTACGGTCTCCGTTTAACCAAAACGATGACGTTTCTCTAAAACGAAAACGTCATCGTTTTACTCAGAGAATGAAAGTCAAAGGCCCCAAATCGAAAACCCCCAAATCGATTTCATTCAATCCCTAACGCTAGAAAAATTGAAAATCAAATTCTCTCTCGTGCTCTTGCCTATTGATTCCGATGGCGAAGACTCGTGGAGGTAATTGGAATCCTCGTCGGTCGCGGAGGCTGCTGGCTACGGTAGATGAAGAAGGTAGAGCAAACGATCAAGAACCCGAGACGATCGAGATCCCAGAAGAATCAGAGACAATTCCAGACCCGTCGAAGAGTGAGGCTGCGTTGATACCGTCGGAGAAGAGCACAGCTGAAGTCGCGAAGGAGACGGTTCCCCAACCTCAACAGAAACAAAAACAAAAGCGTGGAGAAAATTGGAGCCCTCGTCGGTCGCGGAGGCTGCTGGCAATGGTAGTGGAAGAAGGTAGAGCAAACGATCAAGAACCTGAGACGATCGAGATCCCAGAAGAATCAGAGACAATTCCAGACCCGTCGGAGAGTGAGGCTGCGTCTAAACCGTCGGAGAAGAGCACAGCTGAAGTCGCGAAGGAGACGGTTCCCCAACCTCAACAGAAACAAAAACAAAAGCGTGGAGAAAATTGGAGCCCTCGTCGGTCGCGGAGGCTGCTGGCAATGGTAGAGGAAGAAGGTAGAGTAAACGATCCAGAAGCTGAAAGGATTGAGATCCCAGAAGAGAGGGATATAATTCGAGACCCGTCAGAGAAGAGCCCAGTAGAAGCAGTCAATGAGACGGTTCCTCAACAGAAAGGGAAGAAAGGGAAAAAAAAAGAAGAAGCTATATTAATTTAATTATTGCTCTAAAATATATTTACAACTAAATAAATTATTATTTTAACATATAAAAACTAATTTTTACGTTTTTGGCTGGCAAACATGAATTCGTGCGTTTGGCAGGAAAAACATGATTTTGCGGTTTTGGCGGAATACATGAAATAATTAAATTTTTGGCCAAAATCAGGAATTTTATAGTTTTGGCAAGAAAATACGGTTTTGCGGTTTAGCAAAAAAAAACAAGTCCGCAATTTCCCGCCAAAACCTTGTTTTAGAATTTTGGCTGAAAAATACGATTTTACGGTTTTGGCGGAAAAACAATTCTGCAATTTCTCAGTTTTGGCGGGAAAGCATATTTCCCAATATTCTCTCCAAAATCGTGATTTTTATAGTTTTGGCAGGAAAAAATATTTTCAGAATTTTACGATTTTACAGTTTTGGTGGAATAGCGCATTTCCACAGTTTCACCGTTTTGGCAGGAAAAAAAACTCAATTCCACAATTTTACGATTTTGACATAAATAATAATCCATGATTTCATGATTTTTAGAGTTTGTTTTGGGTACGAATATGTAATTTTAAAAATATTAAATAAGAAATCTATAGAAAATTAACATTTTTAAGATATGTCTGTAAAAGCGGGTATATTTGTCATTTGTTTTTTACTGAAACCATCTCCATACAAATGGTCCAATCAAGTTCATTCAAATGAGTTTGACAATGGAGAAACAATGAGGGCCTAAATTTTGGTGCGGTTTAAGAGAAAATAATTGTTGCCGAATTTGAACCGAAATTTTAAAATTTTTAGTTTGTTCGGGTTTGGGTTCTAATTTATTTGGGGTACAAGCCCACAAAATTACAATTTTAATAAATTTGATTATCTATACTAGTATTTTTTAAGTACATTTTTAGCGGGTGGGGTAAAATGCATTTGAATACAATAGGTATCCGACCGTTTACAAATTTTGGTCATAAAAAGTTTGTTGAGTCGGGTTATATTTAACCCAACTCATACACCGGATATTCTATATTTAATATTTTAGATATTTAGAAGATTTGATTAAGATTTAGAATTATGATTCTCCTATCATCTTTGTTCAATTTGTTTTTAACTGTTTTGAATAATCATGTAATACATGAAATAAACAAAAATCATTTTTTTTTCTGCATATATTGTGATTCAAAATTTTAAAAACGGACATATATTATCTAATTGACGAAAAATATGTTCAACGTACCACATCGACTAAAATATTTAGACAATGATTCAGAATCATATCATAAACAAGATTAATAAAACAAATGAGTTTTTTAGCGGGAGGGTTTGGCGGGACAAGTTTTTGAATCAACAATAATTAAAAAATTAAAATATCATTAATCCGCCGCTTCAATACGGATTAAATCCTTAATTTTTTTTAAATACCACCAATATTAGACATATCAAATCAATCTTATTTAGAAAAGATTGTATAAAACCAAAAATTGTCTCGTGGTATAATGTTACTTAATAACAATGTAACTATAAAATATAAATGTCTTAGAGAATAATACAATTTGCAAACTTTTATATATAATAAATAATCGTTAAATTTTTAAAATTACTACTTTTATAAAACAAATCACGGGCAGAGGTTAAGAATTTACAGGACGGGTTATATTTTGGAACGGGGTTATATTGTGGACGAGTTTGAATCAATATTTATAAAAATTTTAAATATCATTAATATGCCGCTTTAATACAGATTAAATCCTGAGTTTATGAAAATATAAATCCTGAGTTCATCAAAAAAAAAAATATATAAATGTCTTAAGGAATGATACAATTTGTAAACTTTTATCTATGTTAAATAATCATTAAATTTTAAAATCACTACTTTTAGAAAACAAATCACGGGACGGGTTATGAAATTACGGGACGAGTTATATATATTTCCGAACGAGTTTATATGATGGACGGGTTTGAATAATATTTATAAAATTTTAAAATATCATTAATATGCCGCTTTAATAAGGGTTAAATCCACAGTTTATTAACAATTGTTCTGTGGACTCGTAGTATACCGTTACTTAATAACAATTGTAAACTATAAAAAATAAATCTAGTGATGCCGTCTCATGGTGGTTTCACCATAATCCGGTCCGATCATGTTTTAATCGATCTATAAACGATTAGGTAATTGAAACTAAAAATAAAGATTTGGTAATTCAATACCATAAATTATTTTTTCTTCCTTTTCGATAATTTTTTGCGATGTTTTTATCTTTCTACAGTTTAATTATTATCGTTATTGAACGATTATATATTTTCTATTGGGAAAAATGTCATTTAAATAATCGGTTTACCATTTTCGTTAGTTTAAAACATGAACTCTAGACCTAGTGATTTAAATCCTTAATTTTATGTTGATTTTTATTTTAATCATAAATTTTCGTTGACAAAGCTAATTGAAGCATTGTTAACTGGCTAAACGGATCAATAAGACGATATCATCGCATAACTTGCACCATCGCATAATTTTTCTTTTACACCAAGGTTTCTATCTTCCTCTTCAAAAACTATGCGATGACATCGTCTGATTGCTCCATTTAGCCGATTAACGATTACCTCAATTGGATTAGTTAACGAGAATTCGTGATTAAATTGAAAATCAACATAAAATTGAGGATTTAAATCACCAAATCCACATAAAATTGAAGATTTAAATCACTAGATCCATAATTTATGCTTTAAATCAACAAAAATGATAAACTGATGATTTAAATGATATTTTTCCCATTTTTTATTCAATCCACTCGATAAAACTAAAATAAGGTTAGGCCAATAATATTTCAAATTATTCTCGGCGTTATAAGATTCCATCCAATGTATTCTCGATGATGTAAGATTCCTAATGTCATCTATATTTATTATGTCATTTGATATTTTTGTTATCTAAAATCTCTATAGAAACTCCCTTATCTTTTAATGATACTAGGTGAGTACCCGTTCTACGAGCGGGCTTTCGTCTTTACTGATTTCTAATTATGTCTATAATTTAAGCAATATAAGTTTTGGTTTGAAAACGGGTTTGTCTTCACTAATTTAATTATGTATATGATTTAACTATTTAAGCAATATAAGTTTTGGTTAGAAAGCGGGCTTTCGTCTTCACTAATTTCTAATTATATCTATGATTTAAGCAATATAAGTTTTGGTTAGAAAGAAGTTTACTTCAACTCGAACTTCTTTTTTTCCTATTGGAACATGTTACATGTGGGGGAGAGAAACGAAAAGCCGACGGAAGGGTTGTCTTTTGACTTAGATCACACCAACTCCACCTTCACATGCACCTGCATCCGCATGCCCGCTCCAGCGATCCATTCAATCTCTAGCTTTCTAATGTGGTCAGGATGTAGTTTTTTGGGGTTTAAAACTAAAATATAGGACACATCAATTGAGTAGACCTAAAGTTTAGAACATACAACTGTTTAGATTTTCTATTGGCAAAACAGAAAATCTAAGTTATTTTTTTGAAAACGTATTTTATTGTCCTAAGGAAAATCGATCATGGCCAAAATTACAATTAGAGAGTTTTGATTGCCATTAGTGACGATGATCACTTAGCAAAATAGATGAAAGCTGAGAAGATTAGATGGGTTTTTATTAGACTTACAATTACACAATGGTAAAGAACTAAAAACTCAGTACACGTTAGAATCATTGCCAACTTCTGCTATTCTTTATTACGCTATGAAATTTCTCAAGTGCTAAATTACTGAAAAATCGCTTAACTATAGACTATTAGAAAGGAAAGAAACAACATTTAATCAATAAAAGAATTAATGAAAAGAAAAAGATCGGTAAAAATATATAGCATCAGATGGCGTGACTTGTACATAAACCTGCAAACAACGAATAAGGCACACCAAGACAGTGACAACCACAACTTGAACAACAATTTTAGGGTTAGAAGCTGAAAAACTGTCAAGTCTATTTCTAATCCAGTTTTAGCTTGAAAGTAGACACTGCTCAAACAATATCCTTTTTACCTTTTCAGCACTTGCCCGACAGATTCACAAAAAGGAGAACTCCACAAAAAGCTTAACAGTTACGATTTACGAAAGTAAGAGATTCCTAAGAAGGTTACCCTATGAAATGCCAAAATGTTCGATGTTATCAATGTAGGTAGAAAAGCATAAACTCTCAAAGCCATCCTCTTATGGAAGCGATCACAAAGCCTCCGGCAGTTAATAAAAGTTGTATAGCTTTCCCACCTGCCAAAAAATGTCATCATTTCAGCCAAGAAGATTACTCTTAACAATGTTTAATTGTGTTATAGAATTTACCTTCTCTCCCATGGCGTCTTGGTAACATTAGAAGAGTGTCACCAGACATTTTTGCAAATACTGTGCCGGTATTTGTATCAACTTAAAGAAATCGATAAAAATCTTACTAATTTTTGAAGATATGAACTCCTAGTTCTTGCTGTTTTTCCTTGTAACTGCTCAGACATTCATAGACGACATGAAGAACGTTAAGACATTTGTTTTTAAAAATCTTTACAAAGTTTAAAAATTTAACAGATCCAATAACTTACAGAGAAAAACAGCCACAAAAATAACTACTCCACGAGCCATTCAAACTTCTGGGCTACATGTGAGTGAGTTGAAAGAGTATTGTTAACAAGTAATCTAGGAATTGATCATTAGATTTCATCTTCCCTATTTGATACTATTTTCATACACAGATTGTTGGCTTCAAGTCCTCAAAAGCAGGTGTCACTATGAAATACAAAACCTAGCTGTAGCATAACACAAAGCAAAACTACATAAAGAATTAGAAGGAGATATTTGTTGTGCACAAATAATAACAGGAGGCGGAAATGTTTAACCCAAATTCGCTTATATACATTAGTCAAAACTTAATTATCAAACAAAACTGCTATATGTGAGCGTCCAAAAAACATTAATAGTAGCCAAAATTTTGTAAAATAACGTTGAGATGTTTGATAAATTGCTTTTGAAGCTAATATTAGGATATACAATAGCGGAAAAAAGTAGAATGAGAAGATATATATTTTTTTATAAAATCATTTGGGCGAAAACGGTTTGAACGTGGAACGAAGGTAAATGAAACAGAGAGTCGCCGAATCCGATTGAGATCGAGTACGAATGTCAAGCAAAAAAGAAAACAAATGCAGGATTAAATATAGAAGAGAAGAGACGGTACTGAAAATGCTTACGTTTCTAAACTTTGAATATGATAGAGAAGACGAAGAGGGAGGGACGCTTCTGCTTAAATTTTTTCACATGGATAATCGGGCCGTGGGTTCGTTTCGAACAACAATGTTATCATTTAACAGCCAGTATACAAATACAAGTATAGAACCATACCTCGATAATGCATGTAATAGAATCCCCTTCTTCAGAATTTCATGGATGCCGCTTCTGCAAAACAACCAAAATAATACGAACGCAATCACTAAAGAACCCAATAACACTGTTTTAAATTGAGTAACATTATTGACAAAACCAAAAGGGGACAAAAAGAGAAGAACCAGGGCAGAGCGTAGGCTTGAGGCGTCATAGTTTCACCCAATTCACCTAAACCCACTGTTAGAATCCTAAACTGAACATATTATTTGAACAATTAAAAACTGTAACAGATTAAGTATAAACATTGTCGAATTTTATTGTTTTCTACCTTATCGGCAATCAATGGCACCATATGTAACTATGGAAGTGGTGAAGACGAAGGCGGCGAACATACCTCGATTATTGATCTTCGACCTTGAGAAAGAGATTAAAGGAAGGGAGGACAATTTTTCGTTTTTTTCTTTTATTTTTTTTATCAAGAAAATTTTTAGTTTGGAAATCTAGCAAAACGCTTACACGGAAAATAAAGCGTCATCGAGCATCACCTAATAAATGAAGGATTTTTTTTTTTGACACTTGTCATTCACTCTGATGCTGACGTGTCATATAGCTCTTGTTCAAAAAATCGCTAGGCGTTAATCGCTAGGCGTTAATCGGTTAATCGGAGATTACACGGAAATTAATTGAAATTAGTTTTAGGGTTTTTATCGAGTTTTGTGGGTATATATGAATTATTTGCTGATAAAGAATATAAAGTCGGCTTGGTGTAGTGGTTTCAGCAGTCTAAATGCCTTTGTACGCCTGAGTTCGAGTCCCCAGATCTTGTTTTTTGCTCTCTTTTTAACCCTTCTTTTAATGAAGGGTAAAACAGATATTTTATCATCGTCTTCTTCACAGACCTTGACGACTTTCTAAACCTAATAATGGCGGCTGCCCGTTTTTTTATACATTTGCATCATTTTTAACTCATTTTTGTTCTTGTTTTTCTCCAAATATGATAGATCTGACATGTATCATAGAATATTTAACCATAAACTACAAAAAATTGTTGTTCTCCGATTAATTCTCCGATTTGGACAAATCCCGGCGGTTACCTACCGCCGAGCGCTTAACCGGCGCTTAGGCGGCCGCGGAGGCCGCATTTTCGAACAGGGCATATAGCTGGAGAGAGTTCAGCTACTTTTTTTTTTTTATGATTTCTTCATATTCTTATTCATATAAAGTTTTTGGTGGTTCACTAACATTCTCTTTTATGATTGATCTTCCCACCCCAAATCAAAAAACAAACTTTATGTAATTAGTTACGCACTTGTTGGGTAAATTATACATTTTTGTACCATTTTTGTATCTGACATCACATCATCTTTAGGCTTGGTAATTAGATGTAATCTCCTATGATTCTCGCACACATCTTGATTGTTTCTGGAAATGGAGATTTCAATGATATATATAGCAGAGCATCTTAGAGTCAGAGGGCACAACGTCATGGTGGTACTGATTCTCAAGGGTAGTAACCTAGATTTAAAGGTTTCAGCTTCCAAAGTTTGGGAGTAGAGTTCCTTAGTAACATGAGTAAGACAAATCAGCCAAGAAGAGAAGAAAAGAATCAGAAAAAAGTATGATGAGGTGAGAGAGGAGCATAGGAGATCACTTACGAAGCCGACTAAAGATGTGATTTTAGGTAATGCTCATTTCATTAAATGTCAAATCTGCTATCAGTTTCTTCAAGTGCCAAGCGGCAGACAAAAAGTGATTTGCGGCTCTTGCTCATGTTGGACGGATTTGACCTCAGCCAAGCCACTATGGGAACAACATCTGGATTCATCCGTCTGAGAATTTAGCAGTTCAAGACTTTTACTTTTTCCTTATTAGAATTTTCTTATGGTTTGCCCGACTCGTAATTCTTCAGCTTTATCTACTTAGTTTCTCTTGGTAGGCTTCCCGGTTGATTGAAACAGGAAAAGTCAAATTATACATTTTTTTACCCATTTTTGTATTTGACATCACATCATCTTTAGGCTTGGTAATTAGATGTAATCTCCTGTGATTCTCGCAGATCTATAAACGGAGCATAAAAATTGGTTTATTATAGTGATCGATCGGATTTTAATTTCACGAATCGAATCGGTTTAAGTCATATACATCTTGACTGCTTACGATCTCATATATTTTAATTTATATATATGATCTGTTTTTTACTGCTTACGAAAATGTTGTGGTGGCCTGTTGGTATCTTGTAATGCCATCTACCTTTTTATTTTTATTTTTCTTATAGTGATATTTCTTCATATTCTTATTCATATAAAGTTTTTGGTGGTTCGTTAACATTTTCTTTTATGTTTAATCTTCCCACCCCAAATCAAAAAACAAACTTTGTGTAATTTATATTTTTTTTTATCCATACACCTATATCTACTAAATCAATAGTCACTTTCAAATAATTGCAGCTTTCTCTATTTGCCGCATGTTATAGGTCTCAAATTCTTTACTTTTAGTTGTTTACATCAATTTACTTATTTATTTTTAAAACAAAATATTAACTTTTTTCCATGATTTTCTCTTTTTTATTTCTCATAACTAATTAAATTCACTAATAATCAAAAGTATACAAATTTTATTCATTTTTTCTTCCACTTTCCATTTACTTATTTATTTGAGATTTTTTTTTTCTCCCACAATTTTTTTTCTCTTAACTAATTAAATTCACTATTAATCAAAAGTAAAAAAAAAAAACATTTCCATTATCTGATTTGGGTCTAAAATAATGATTGTGATTTTAATCAAACAATGAATTTTTTTAAATCAATAAATCAAACAATTAAAAATTTGTTGGGCCTTAATACTAGTAATTCTAGATCTATACTTGTATTTTTGAAGTACATTTTTAGCAGGTGTGACAAAATGCATTTGGATACAATGGGTATCCGACCCGTTTACAAATTTTGTTCATAAAAAGTTTGTTGGGTCGTGTTATATTTAACTCAACTCATACACCGGATATTCCATATTTAATAATTTAGATATTTAGAATATTTGATTAAGATTTAAAATTATGATTCTCCTATCATCTTTGTTTGATTTGTTTTTAACTGGTTTGAATCATCATATAATACATACAATAAAATAAAAAAATCAATTTTTTTTGCATATACTGTGATTCGAAATTTTAAAAACGGACGTATATTATCCAATTGACAAAAAATGTGTGTTCAACATTCCACATCGACTAAAATATTTAGACAATGATTCAGAATCATATCATAAATAAAATCAACATTAATAAAATAAATGGGTTTTTTGGCCGGACGGGTTTGGCGGGACATGTTTTTGAATCAACAAGAATAAAAAAATATATCATTAATCCGCCACTTCAATACGGATTAAATCTTTTTTTTAATACCACTAATATTAGACATATCAAATCAGTCTCATTTAGAAAAGATAGTATAAAACCAAAAATTGTCTCGTGGTATAATGTTACTTAATAACAATTGTAACTATAAAATATAAATGTCTTAGAGAATAATACAATTTGCAAACTTTTATATATAATAAATAACCGTTAAATTTTTAAAAGTACTACTTTTATAAAACAAATCACGGGAGGGGTTAAGAATTTACAGGACTGATTATATTTTGGAACGGGGTTATATGGTAGACGAGTTTGAATCAATATTTATAAAATTTTAAAATATCATTAACATGCCGCTTTAATACAGATTAAATCCTGAGTTTATGAAAATATAAATATCTTAAAAAATGATACAATTTATAAACTTTTATATATGTTAAATAATCATTAAATTTTAAAATCACTACATTTAGAAAACAAATCACGGGACGGGTTATGAAATTACGGGACGAGTTATATTTCGGAACGGATTTATATAGGGATGGGTTTGAATAAATATTTATAAAATTTTAATATCATTAACATGCTGCTTTAATACGGATGAAATTTTTAGTTTATTAACAATTATCTTGTAGACTCATGGTATACTAATTGTAAACTAAAAAATATTTATTTTTAAAAAAATAAATTATTTCGTGGTGTAGGCGGGTGAAAATCTAGTTATGAAGTTAAAATAATAATGGTCGTGGGTCGTGACTCGTGACTAAAGTCAACAAATAGGAAAGTTCCATAAAGTTGCATCAGAAAAATCGGAGAAAATATGTGAAATTGCTACTCACCAGTCACCACTGGCCAGTTTCTCGTCTGGCTTTCTCTTTCTCGTCAGATTCTGAGACACAAAGTCGTTCTTCTTCTAAAATTACTTTCTTTCACTCTCTCTCAATGGTTTATACATCTTCTTCTTCTTCGAGCTCCTCTCGCAATTGGGTATATGATATCTTTCCCAGTTTCAGAGGCGAAGATGTCCGCAAAAACTTCGTCTGTCACTTTATAAAAGAGCTTGATCGGAAATTGATTACTGCATTCAAAGACAATCAAATCGAGAGAAGCCGATCGCTCGATCCTGAGCTTAAACAAGCGATTAGGGATTCACGAATAGCGGTGGTCGTGTTCTCTAAAAACTACGCTTCTTCGAGCTGGTGTCTTGACGAGTTGCTGGAGATCGTTAGATGCAAGAAAGAGTACGGTCAATTGGTGATTCCAATTTTTTACCGTTTGGATCCTTCACATGTGAGGAAACAGACCGGCGAATTTGGGAAGATCTTTGAGAAGACATGTCAACACAAAACAAAGCAAGTGCAAAATCGATGGAGCCGAGCTTTGAGTCATGTTTCCAATATCCTTGGTTATCATTCTGTGACCTGGTACGACATTTTTGAATCAGTTATTTGCGACTATTTGGAACTATTGTTTGATCTGTGAAATCATTTTTCTTGTTAGGGAAAATGAAGCAAAAATGATTGAAGAAATAACGAATGATGTTTTGGGTAAATTGAATATAACTCCATCAAAGGATTTTGATGACTTTGTTGGAATGGAAGGTCATATAGCAGAGATGAGTTCACGGTTGTGCTTAGAATCCGAGGAAGTTAGGATGGTAGGGATATGGGGTCCCTCTGGAATTGGCAAGACTACCATTGCGAGGGCTCTCTTTAATAGACTCGCTCGTCACTTCCGAGGTAGCATTTTCATAGACAGGTCTTTCTTGTGTAAGAGTACGAAAATTTATAGTAAAGCCAACCCGGATGACTATAACATGAGGTTGCATTTGCAAAGCAATTTCCTCCCTGAAATTTTAGGCCAAAAGCACATCAGAATAGATCACTTGGGTGCAGTGAGAGAGAGGCTAAAGCACCAGAAAGTTCTTATTCTTCTTGATGATTTGGATGATCAAGTAGTGTTAGATACCTTGGTTGGACAAACACAGTGGTTTGGACGTGGGAGCAGAATTATTGTGATTACGAAAAATAAGCATCTCCTTAGGGCCCACGGGATTTGTTCTTTTTACGAGGTAGGCCTACCATCCGATCAGCTAGCTCTAGAGATGTTCAGCCGGTATGCTTTCAGGCAAAACTGTCCTCTTCCTGGTTTTATTGAGTTCTCAGTTGAAGTTGCAAAACTTGTGGGCAATCTTCCTTTGGGTCTTAACATCTTGGGTTCGTACTTGCGAGGGAGGATCAAGGAAGATTGGATCCATAGACTGCATAGGCTGCGGAAAGGTCTGAACAAACAAATTGAGGAAGCACTAAGAGTTGAATACGAAGGGTTAGGTAGCAGGAAAGATAAGGCGATATTCCGTCACATCGCATGTCTATTCAATGAAGTGGAAATCAATGACATCAAACTGCTGCTCGAAGATAGTGACTTAGATGTTATTACTGGTCTTCACAACCTACTTGATAATTCCCTAATACACGAAAGACGGAAAACTGTGCAGATGCACTGTTTGGTACAAGAAATGGGGAAGGAAATGGTACGTATACAGTCAAAGAACCCTGCGAAACGGGAATTCCTCGTGGACTCAAAGGATATTTACGATGTACTTAATGGTAACGCTGTAAGTGCTCCTTTTAATCCTCTATGATGAAAGTCTTTGGTTTATAATTAACTTATAGTCGCTTGTTCAGATAAGAACTTTACATCTTCAATTTTATTTTCAGAATGCTGAAAAAGTTAAGGGTATATCATGGAATCTAGCAGATCTAGATGAGTTGCACATCCATAAGAGAGCTTTTGAAAGGATGAAAAATCTCGATTTTATAAGAATCTACGATGATTCATTGGCATTGCATATACAAGAAAAATTGCACTTCCCACAAGGGCTCGACTATTTACCCCCTAAACTAAGATTTCTTAGTTGGGACGGATACCCAATGAGATGTTTACCTTCTAACTTTCTTCCTGAACATTTGGTTGTGCTGAGAATGCGGAACAGCAAGCTAGAGAAGCTGTGGAACGGAGTTCATGTAAAATTTGATACTTATTGTTTATTAGTGGGAAAATTATGCATGCTATTATTTTAGTTTTGGGATGACAATCCTTTCACGTGATGTGTAACTTACTTTCTGTTTGTTCTGTGTTTCTTCTCTTCAGTTGCCTAGATTACTCGAGGATATGGATATGGAGGGGTCTAGTAACCTGACAGAACTCCCAGATCTATCATGGGCGCCCAATCTGACGACACTGAATCTCCGCAATTGTCCAAGTTTGGCGGAGATACCTTCATCTATCATGAATCTCCATTGCCTGAAGACATTGACTCTTGAAGATTGCACGAGTTTGGTGTCTCTTCCAGTCAACATCGACCTGATATCTCTCTATCGACTTGATCTCAGTGGATGCTCACGGTTTAGTAGATTTCCTGATATCTCGAGGAACATCTCATTTCTCATTCTAAACCAAACAGCGATCGAAGAAGTTCCTTGGTGGATCAATAAGTTTCCTAAGCTCATATGCATTGAAATGTGGGAATGCACAAAGTTAAAATATATATCCGGAAACATTTCTGAGCTGAAACTCCTTGAGAAAGCTGACTTTTCAAACTGCGAGGCACTTACCAAAGCTAGCTGGATTGGCCGTACAACTGTGGTAGCAATGGTGGCAGAAAATAATCACACTAAGTTACCAGTGCTCAATTTCATCAACTGCTTCAAGTTAGATCAAGAAACTCTCATTCAACAATCAGTTTTCAAGCACCTGATCTTGCCAGGTGAAAAAGTGCCTTCATATTTCACAAACCAAGCTACCGGAAACTCTCTAGTTATCCATTTACTTCAGAGCTCTTTCTCTCAAGAATTCTTAAGATTTAGAGTTTGTCTCGTGGTTGATGCTGACAAACCTAACCGCTCTGAGAATGGCTCTATTGCGTCTACCTGGGTAAGTTGTCACTTTACATGCAAAGATGGAAACTGTTATGGTTCGGCTGATTCTCGAATAGCCATTGACTTGCCACGTCAGATAGATAATCATTTGATTATATTCGACTGTCATTTCCCACTAAGCAAAGACAATGGTTCTCTAGTTAATCTGAATTACGATCAGGTGGATTTAGAGTTTCATTTCGCCAGTGACCCTTTGTGCAAAATAAAAGAATGTGGTATACGGCTTTCTGAGGTTTGTCCATCCCCGGAGTACCGACCGTGTAATCTAAATGTTCGTGCACATGTTTGGGAAGGCAATGAGAACAAAGCTGATAGTGATCTAGACAATGAGACTGAAAACGGTGAAGAGACAGAGAGAAGCAGGAAACGAATCAAGGTAACTAACCATTGGTAGCTGAACTTAGTAAATTCTTGGTATCTCTATTCACTTAATGTCTCAAGATTGAATCAAAACTGTTTTCCTACAATAAGATTACACTGGATTGTTCTTTTTTTGTAGATAACGTGAAGGATTAATCAAAAAAAGCCAAACTACAAGAAACGCAGGATACCACGTTTAACCTTCTGCTGCAAGTTTTGAGATTCCGTAAAGCCCTGGTGAGATTTTCGCTTCAGAATCCTCTGTCAACATTAAATGCATACTCTAGGCCATTTTAAGTTCACTTGTAAGTCAGAGCTTTTTGTCACTCTTAAGATTGGCAGTCATCTGTTAATTTATAACTGTCCTTTCGATATAAACAAAGACTATGATCACTTGGATATAGAGTTTAGTACTTGTGAGAGCTAAATAAAACGATGCGGTATATGTCCTCCCTTCTGATAACTGATGTTTGTAATCATATAATATTTGCAAATGTTTATGAAGCGGATTAAAGTAATTTCTTTGGAAGCCATACTGCCATATTGATTATAGTGACTGTCTCTCCACAGCCTGTCAAGAAGTTTTCAGGTAATCGAAAAATCTCGCAAACACATCTCATTATTTTATAATAAAACATCAATTGTGAGATTCTGCATATGAACATATGCTTAAAAGAATCTCTAAATGAAGTTTCCAGCACTATTATTAATGCAGACTGCAGTTCCAATATGGTTCTTGGCCTCCTCTCATTGTCCTCTTTTTCCTCTCTTGCTATGCTATTATCTTAATTAGGATCTTTGAGCAGATTGTTTTAAGTCTACTATATCACCAGTAGTTTTTGTTTGTTCAATTTTTACTCTATTATAATGTTCTTAAGTTATTTGTCTTCTCTTCTCTTTCTTAACCTGTTACATATTTCTGAGATTTTCACTAGAAGAAACGATCTGTTATTCTGAAAACGTTTTTGCCTTCACTATTGAACCAGTTGGACAACATACAGTCAGGTGGTTTTGTGCATTTCTCATTGCAGATGTGGGGGCTGTAGAAACTAAGCAAACACACGAGATCACTTCCAACTGATCTGTGTTAGTTAAAAATGTCCAAAAGCTTTAAATAAAGATGCTAGAGTTACAGTGAAATTCCTGAAGAAGTCTCAATATGTCAGATGATTTCCAGGCTTTCTAAGCAATAGAGTTTGCAGGAGGGACCTTGATTTATAATTTTTTTCGTAAAAGCCATTGTAGCTGTAATGCCATACCTGCTTTACTAAGAGAAGAGCAAAGACAAAAAGCTCAGGCTTGGTGTTGCTTTAAAACGCTTTTTGTGCTAGTACAATGCAGCATATTACATGAAGAGATGTTTGCATTTTCCCACGCTGTTACCTTAATTTTTTTAGTAAGTTCAACAACACATTCTATAAAGATTATAACAAAAAATAGGTGGTATATGGGTTCTTTATGCTTTGATGTTTTCAAATACATATGAATATTTAAGAAGGCCAGTAGTCTTATAGCTACATGAGTTTTATTCTGCTTATAAGTCAAGCTTCATGTTACATTTTGTTTGGAATGTTCTGAAGTTTTCTTTTCTTTTACCATGGTGGATATAGCCATACATGGTTTTCTCTCAATCTATTACTGAAATTATTAGCAAAAATTTCTTTTTATTCTTAATGCCGATTAGGTTATTTCTTACATTTTTTGCAGAGATATGATGTGCATGTGATTGATCTAAACAAAGTTGCTAAGGTCAGAAAGGTATAGTTGTCTGACATTCCTCTCTTTTGTATCTTTCAATTCAATTACTCGGCTATTAAATAAGACTTGTATTTTTAGGGTGGCATAGTAGAAAGGTACACTGCATTGATGGTATCATTAGGTATGCAAAAGCAAATGCTGTGACTGGCCAGTCTGCAATGCAGAAGGTAATCTCACATTACCATTTGACATTAGGATTTAATGAAAGAGATATATATGTGGTGTCTTCATAATATGGATACTACCGGTCTCGACACTTTGTGCACTTGTACATTTATGAAAGCATCTTGTTGTAGCAAAGATAGTCAATTAAGTGATTTTATACAATGGGGAGCTAATTTGATTTGTATAGTGCTAAGCGTTGAGGACATGAGACGTTCGAAAGCTTCAGTTTTACGTGAACTGAAAATTACTTTATGAGTACCATAGTTACACTAAAAAAATCAGCTTTCAAAACAACGTTATATTAGGTAAACACTAGAGTGCAACAGTACACATCTTCTAGTGAAGCATTTTCTGTTGTTTTTTTTGTGTATAATGTCTTGAATTCAACTACCTTGATACCAATCTCCAAATTACGATACCAATGAAAGCTTCTCTTCAAACCTTAGGTTGGTTGACAAGACTCTTTGGTATTGGTTTCTGTATGAATCTCTTTTCTTTATATCAGTTTTGATTCTTGACCTGGTCAAAGAACATGAAATTTAAAACTTGTGGTATTCCGGTCTTGTTCTGTTTCAATGCCTTCATATGTCTTTCTATATCAGGCTTTAGTTAGTTCTCATGATCTCATTTCTAACAACTGCAAAACAGGCGTACGGGAAATGTTTTCAGAATCTTCATTATGTAGAGCGTCATGAAGAGCACACTATTGCACACGCAATACAGACTTCTTACAAGAAAAAAAAAAGGTATTTGTTTGAGTTCCCTTCTGACAGTATGATCTATTGATGCCACTTATCCGACCTTAATAAACTTGAATCTGCAACTAGTTATATACATATGGCATGTACCAACAACAACGGGAAAGAAAGCTAAGAGAGTTGTCCAAACAATCTTTTGCTCCTAGCTGATTTCAAGAACATCAAATCAAAGGTGCATTTTTTTGCTTTATCCTGATAGAACATCGATTTTTGTTTTCCGTTGGAGTAAAAGTATGGTTGTGGTCCAAAATTTGCAGGCGATTGGTTCAAGGAATTCATACAAAACAGGTTAGGCAGTTTTGAAGTCCTTGAATGGGGTGAGTGGTCTGAGCTGATGACGAAAAGTCAATAAAAAGAGGACTATAGTTAAAACCTTATGATCTGAACCAATCTCATTCCCTCTTTGTCAGGTCGAAACCCCAACGGCTGGTCAATAGAAGTCAAGAAATATCTGCTGTGAAAGCTGCTGCGTTCATGCCTTATGGTATGTAGTGTTGAGTTTTGGATGAAAATCCAATGTTTGGTTTTAGATTAGTAGTGTGTTTCTTACATCACAATTCACAACCGAATTCATCCTTTACGGTCTTGGTGAAAAATAAAGTAGTTAAGAATACACTATGGCTTCACCAATTACACTTAGTTTTGGGTTATGGTTCTCGTGCTCTTTTTTTTTTTTGGTGTGAAGTTCTCGTGCTCTTGTTAGAAACGTTATTTGATCTGATTGTTTTTTTATTCCCTCCATTGATCTGATTGTATTGGCACTCAAAAGTTCTAAATTTCCTTGCATCCAATGAGATCCTAAAATTCCAAAACTTCTATCTTTGATGGTCAATTGTAGATCTCGATACTAGATTGTGTCGATTCTTTTTTTTTTTTGCCAATATTGTGTCGATTCTTTAGTGCCTTGTAATGTTACTGTTTGAAACGAAACTTTAGGAGTGTCAAACAGATCCAACCTAACCAGAAATAAACCAGGTGGATTAAAATATATATATATATAATGCTTTATTACAAGACCATTTGACGAATTCTTACAAGAATGTGTTATTTATTTTGTATTTTGTCGGTGATGATGTCGCAGTGAATACACGTACACACCATCCTTGTCGACTTCGAGATCTTTCCAAAATATCTTCCAGAAATTTCCAATTTAACTCCGTACGACCCAAAAAAAAGGAAACTGAACAAAGACAATGAGCAGCAGCGATGATCATGCCGGAGAATCTCGCCATCGCCGTAACCCGATCCGGTGGCTACTCGGCTTTGGTTTCTTCGTACAAGGAATTAGAGGATTCCCATGGCTCGGAGCCAATTTCTTCCTCACAGAACAGCTCCGTGTAAATCCTTCAGTGCTTCAGCTTCTTCAAAACTCAGCCAATCTTCCAATGGTCGCTAAACCAATCTACGGCGTTGTTTCAGACTCTGTCTACTTCTTTGGCCAACATCGAATCCCTTACATCGCTATTGGAGGTATCAGACCTATTCTTGATATTCTCTACATTGTTCCTTGTTTTCTCGAAATTGAGAAAATTTGTTTCTATGAAAATGGTTTATTCTTGTGGCTGTGGAATTGTGTGAATCAGAGTTGATTGAGAGATGATTTGTAAACTAATTAAGTCTTGTTCGTCTTAATCTTTGATTATCGTCTTGTGAAATTGTGAGTTAGTGCTTCTTATGGCAATGGAATTATGTGATTCTGAGTTTTTCTTACTACTTTATTTAGTCGTCTCATAGTGGATTTGATATTTTATGTTTCTTGGATCAATGAATTCTCGTTTAGTGTTAATCTTTGGTGTTTTTTTGAGTATTATTTAGAAAGATTCTTCTAACTTTTAGATTTTTTTTTTTGTTGCAGCCTTGTTACAAGCAATCTCATGGCTAGCAATAGCTTTCTTGTCAAGATCCAATGTATCAATCTTAGCTTTGTCGATATATCTTCTTCTTAGTAATCTCGGTGCTTCTTTAGTAGAAGTAGCGAATGATGCTATTGTTGCTGAGGCCGGAAAGCAAAAAACCTCAGAGACGCAATCCGGTGAGCTACCTTCGTTTGTTTGGATGGCTTCTTCTCTTGGTGGAATCTTGGGAAACCTTTTAGGTGGTATTGCTATTAAGACGTTTTCTGCTCAGTCAACGTTCCTCGTTTTTGGGATTTTGGCTCTTCTTCAGTTCTTGGTAACTATAAACATCCGAGAAAAGTCTCTTAATCTTCCGGAAAATCCATCACCAGCTGGTATTAGAAAACATCTCTCTGACCTTTCGCACGTGTTGAGGAAGCCCGAGATTTCTTTTTCCATAGCCTGGATCGCGTTATCAACCGCTGTAGTTCCTGTTCTGACTGGGACAATGTTCTTTTACCAAACAAAGTTTCTGAAAATCGATGCATCACTTCTAGGGATCTCCAAGGTGTTTGGTCAAATTGCAATGCTTTTATGGGGTTTTGCATACAATCGTTGGCTAAAATCTGTACAGCCGAGGAAATTGATGACAGCTATTCAGGTAACAATAGCTGTCTTTGTGATATCCGATCTCTTATTTGTGAGAGGCGTTTACCGGGATTTGGGAGTGTCAGACTCTGTATACGTACTCTTCTTTTCTGGATTCTTGGAAACTCTCTTTTACTTCAAGATTCTGCCGTTCACCGTCTTGATGGCCCGTCTCTGTCCTCCTGGATGTGAAGGGTCTCTCATGGCATTTGTCATGTCAGCCATTGCACTTGCATTCATAGTTAGCGGATATCTTGGAATCATTCTCGCATCATTTGTCGGTGTAACAGTGGATGATTTCTCGGGGTTTACTCGTGGACTCGCTATAGAAGCGTTCTGCGTTGGGATTCCGCTGATCTTAACTTCGTGGATATATGATGAAGCGGAAACAAAGGAGAAAAGTAAAAAGATAGAATGAGTTCATTCGGGTTAAAGTGTACTTTGTATATCTTTGTGACATTCTTGTGGTTTTAAGGTTTCGTAGTCTCTCATTGTCTCATGGCCGAACTGTCGACTGTATGGCTTTTTCTTTGATTTTGCTTCACATCGGCTAAAATCTTTCCATGGTAGAAAGTATGCTTTGTATATCTCTCATACTTTGTTTGGTGTAATTAGTGATTACTTGTTTATGTTCATTTCATACATTTCTTAACTGTTTTTTTTTTTTTTTTGCCGTCTAATAAACTTTATTGAAATCAAAAGGATAGTTCAACAAACCAAAGACAACAGAGCATGTAACCACAAACCAAAACAGAGCATCCCAAAAACAGAGTATTAAAATTATGAAAGATGCTCTAATAAATTCATCTTCTCTTTTCCTCTTCGATACGGGAATGGAGCCACAGCGGTCCACCTCGAGCTAAATAGGATCGTGTGCGACCCTCCCTTATGACACTCACGGCAATATCTCTGGCGACCGAATTCGCTTTGGTAGATGAAACTTTAAACACTATATGACCAAAGGAGGAGATTAACCTGTGTACCTTGTCCAGATAAGAATGATACCTTGGCCAGTTGGATGGATCAATAATGGCTTCAATAGCAGCACTGCAGTCTGACCACATTTCAATGTTATCCAAATGTAAATCTAAAAGACTCCTTAAAACCCAAAGCATCCCTCGTAATTCCGCTGCAATACGATTTGAAGCAGGAAGAAACATTTCTCTCGCATGAAAGACTGCATCTCCCTGATGATTTCTAACTATCCATGCTCCACCACACATATGTGAATCATTTAACCAAGACATATGGAGGTTACACTTAAGAAAATCAATCGGGGGTTTGACCCAATGACCTTCTCTTCGAAAGACCGGGACATTACTCATAGAAGTTTGCGGTTGTAACTCCTTAATCTTGTTCCACTCTTCCGCTTCTTCTATTGCGTGACTAACCAGAGCATTCAACTCACCCTGTTTCCCAGCATATAAAATTTCATTTCGGTGCTTCCAAATTCCCCACAAGATCCATGGAATCGCCATTCTAATCCTGAGAGACACACTCTCCTGTTTCATAACTTTTAACAAGAATGATATATTGTCATGGATAGAATCTGTGAAACCATGAGGAGGAAAAATGATGTTGACGATCTCCCAGACTTCACGAGCCGGCCAACAATTGAATAAAACATGACTGATTGATTCAATAGCGTCCTGACACATAGCACATTGAGGATCAGAGTTCATGCCATGGGCTTGTAGACACACCGATACAGCTAGTGCACCGGACAAAGCTCGCCATAAGAACATTTTGATTTTAGGAATAGTTTTGACCTCCCAAATCTTCGCTTTGAGTGCACGAGACTCTTGTTCATGATCAGAAATTAGAGCAGGCACATGTTTCAAGTGAGATATCAACCAGTTACCACTCTTCACCGTGTAGCAACCAGACCGATTATAAGACCATACGTAACTGTCCGATGAAGCTAAATTAGGAGGATACGACATTATTCTGACAACATCCGGTGGAAAGAACAGCTCCGATAATAAATGATGGTTCCAAGAGCCTTGGGGGGTTATAAGGTTTGAAACGCGTAAGTCTAAATCGAAAAGAGACTGTTTATTGAAGGGACGTCGCGGAGTATTATCAAAAATCCATTTGTCTATCCATACTCTCGTTGTTTGACCATTACCTATGTTCTTGATGAGACCTTTTGCAAGCAAATCACGACCGTGAATAATGCTACGCCAAGCATAAGACGGTCTGGCACCGATAGCAGCATCCATAAAATCATTCCGGTGATAATATCTTGCTTTATAAACTCGAGCCAATAAGGAATTTGGCTTTGTAAGAAGTCGCCAAGCCTGTTTTGCAAGTAAAGCTTGATTAAAATCACCAACATCTCGAAAGCCTAAACCACCTTCTTTCCTTGTTTTACACATCTTCTCCCAAGAGACCCAATGCATCTTCTTCTTTTCTTCACATGAATTCCACCAGAAGCTTGTCATTGCACTTGTAATTTGTTGACATTGATATTTTGTAAGTCTAAAGCAAGACATGGCGTACACTGGTAAAGCCATAGCAACTGATTTAAGGAGGACTTCCTTTCCTCCCAAAGATAAAGTCTTTGCATACCATCCAGTCAACCGGGTTTTAAGCTTTTTAGTAATGTAAGCCAGCAAATCACACTTAGAACCGCTAAAACACTCCGGAAGACCAAGATACATACCATCGCCACCCTCTTTAAAAATTCCAGCAAATGTCTCATAATCGGCTCCATCTTGTGACCAAAGATAATCGATGATTTTTGAAGATTAATCTCCTGTCCGGAAGCATCACCATAAAGTTTCAAACAATGAAGAATTTCAGCTCCTTCTTTGAAATTAGCCCGGCATAGAAAAAGACTATCGTCAGCAAATAGTCTTAGCGTTAGTCAAATTTAACTAAGTGCTAAGTTTTATCAATGTTGGATCTAATTCCCCCAAATCAAATTCAGCCAAAACTATTAATCTACGGATTTTTATATTTCTTTTTTTACTACACTTGTTTTATAGTGTTCAAGTAATAAAAAAATAGGTTAGTTAAAACCTTATATTTATATTTATAACTTTTTTATAACTTTAGTATACCTTTTGTAGATTTAACCTTGCCCATGACATATGACAAACATAATACACAAATTCTTTGTTAAGGTCGACTAATTTTAAGATTAAGTCAGTCAAATCAATGCAAAATTGAAGATTTACTTAGTCAACAATTAAATTAAAGATTTTTTTTTTTTCACTGAAAGATTATATATAATCAAAGAGTTTTACACATAAGCCGGCAAGAAACATAATTCTTCAAGAGACAAAGAGCCGGCGAGTTTAACTAAAACCCCTAGAAACAAGAGCCGACGAGTTTAACTAAAACCCCCAGAAACAAGAGCCGGCGAGTTTAACTAAAACCCCCAGAGACAAGAGCCGGCGAGTTTGACTAAAACCCCCAGAAACAGAGCCCCACAAAAGGGAAAACAAACAGAGGATTTAAAACAAAATCCAGCATACAGGAAAGCAACTGAAGATTCCATAGAAGCAACACTGAAACCTCTTGCACACAAATGACCGATAAGCATTTCCATAGAACCAGATGATGCCAAAGAAGAGCTACAAACAGGAGCCTTGAGCAGAACCCATCATTAGATTGCCTCCAAAACTGAAAGCCCGAGAAGGGAACAAAAGCAAGCCCACACAGCCATAACTATGGCAGAAACGAAACAGGTGCAGCAAGGAGAAGAGAAAACAGAACCAATCAAAACACCAACACCAAGGAACCAGAGGAAACGAACACGCAAAGGGTCCAAGGAAAACCTTGAAATCCGAATGGGGAAAACACCAAAGAGGAACCCTACTCCTTAACACGGACCTTCGTCGACCTAGACAGAAGCCATGATCTACAGACCAAAGACTAGTAACGCCACGCAAAGAAAAGGAGTAGAGAACGAACCCACCACATCGTCTTGAAACTAAACCCAAGTCACAAAAACTCAGGAAGAGATAGTAGATGCCTTTGTAGAGAGATACCTTCCGAAAGATGAACCCACAAAGCGAAACCTTAGCCAAACGACAACCTTCAGAAACTCTAGACGGAGTAAAAGAAAGGTAGAACCAGGAAACAAAATTGCAACCCAACAACATAGAGTAAAGCTAAAATCCTCAAAAGACCACACTATTCTAACCACATATCAAACTCAACCCCAAACTAAGCACATAAAACCTTAAAACAAAACCTGGACAAAACAAAGACCAAACGGCAGAAGCTGCTGCAACTCTTCAGAAGAAACAAACAACAATAATCTTCCAATGGCAAAAAGGCGAAACTCGGAGGAGAGAAAAAGGAGATCTGAGAATCGATTAAAAACTGAAGGCCATTGAAGTCGGATGGACCGTAACTCTTACCACACAGCAAACAGATCCAATCATTTCAGATCCGTCGGGACACGCTCTGCTCTCCACGCGCCGACACGAGCCTTCAAACCACGCTACCACAAACTTCCAACCCACACTGCCACAGATCTCACACCAAAAGGAAAGAAGAAACTATCCAGGCAAAACAAAAAGGAAGACACTACTCAAAGCTAAACAGACCCTTCACGGCAAAGACGGCAAGCCGCCGGTCACCGGAAGGGTTTCACAAATTCACCCTTTTTTCTCTCTCGAAAGCTTTTTTTTTTTTTTTCCCACTCCCACTTTGGTAAAAAAAAAAAAAAAAAGACTAGTCGAGGTGTTCTAAAATTTATTCCAAAAAGGCAAAAACCATTGGTTCAGTTTAAGGCTAAAGTCTTTAGAGCAACTTTAATGGAGGTTTCTTAGGGCATATGCAAATGTGCATCTTTGAAGTTTGATCTTAAGAGAGAAAAAATATTAAAATATGGTAAGAGCTTTAATTAAGATCTTTTGTAAAGTAAGTGATTATTGGTAGAACATGTTTAGATCATAGGAATTGATTTGAAATTGAAATAATGTAAGATCATTAATTTACAATTTTAAAAACTTTAAGAAATAACTTTTAAATTGCAAACTTAAAAAACTTATACTAAAATAGATTTGAAAATAAGAAGAAACACAAAATATAATATCAAATTTTTATGAAACAAAAAAGAACATTAAATATATAAATAAATAAAAACAAACAAACAAACATATTATTTAATTAAACCCTAGCATAGATTTCGGATCGAAGGATAAATGAAATGTTTTTTTCCTTTGCAAAAATTCGTAGTCAATGATGAAGCGCCACGTCACGCTAAAACTGGGCCAAGAACAGTTCTACAACAAGAACAGATCTACAACAGATCTACAACTATTCACAATATTTTCTATTTTTAAAAGCCTAAGAACACCCTAAGTGTTCTCCCTTTAAATATGGTCTTACAAGATACCTTAACATTAAAATATTTTTAAAAAATTGAAAAAGAGGAGAGAGAACAAGAGACATACCTTATATAAGGAATGTTTCTAAACATTTTAGAAACATTTTGTACATTTGTCTTTTTTTTAGTGGTCTATTTATTTTTATATTAAAATATTAATATTTAAAATATAAGAAACTCAAAACTTATTTCTAACCATTGTGGTTGCTCTTATCCCCTAAGAGAGATCTTCAGCTTATAAATAAATATTATAAAGAAAAAATCACAACATTCAGTAACATACGCAATCGATGATGTCACAGAAACCCGTGATGGCTGTTGTTTAGTAACGTAAAGCTAAAATAAGCTAAAATAAAAAAAGAAATTTTCACGTTTAACATGAAAAAAAGATTTGATCTCACCCTTTGGCAAAGTGAGATTCAATTCTCATGTTTTGACAGTTATTCCATTTTATGACGAAAATGCCCCTGACGAAAAACCAAATGGCACAGTTACGTTACGGTTTAGTTTCATATCGCGGTTTAGTTACTTTTTGTTTTGAATAAAAAAAAAAAAAAAATTCAAGAAAACGAAGAAGAACATTCATCATCTTCGTTCGACATCTCCGAGAGATTCGAGAGAGAAGTAGAAATCAGTTCGGAATTCATTCATCCATCTTCGTTTTCGACATCTCCGTTCGAATTGTCTGCTACTTGATTTGAGGCATTGCATTGAACTCAAAAAACCGGTGAAGAGAAAGTTCCAGTTTTTCCGGCGAAGGCGACCTGAGAAACATCTGGCGAGATACCAACCTTCGAGATGGCTGGGAATAAACCAAACGACGTAGTCTCTAGGAAGAAGCATACGCAGGAAGGCCCCGAGAAGGACAAGGTGGAACTCAGAGTATCCCCGAGGAGGAAACTCCCTCCGAGAAATCCGCCGGAGGAATTGGGTAAGTTCCGATATTATTCCGTTTGTAGTTTCTTTGGGTGTATCGGAATCTTAAAGCTTGTTTGATTAAAGGGATAGAAGTTGCCGGATTTTGCTATATCTGTAGTTTGAAAATTTGAGAAGTTGAATTGGAAATCTCTGTTTCCGCCAAAATTCAGATGTTGAGTATATAATGATGATAATTACTGTGTACGTACACGAATTCATACATCCGTACTTAATTGTATATCACTTGTAATTGCAGGCAGTACAAGCGTGGCTCCGACTGAAGATCTTATAGTTGAAGAGTTACCACCTAGACTCTTTGCCCTAGACCGGTACCCTGTCAAGACGAAGATGAACGCGTACTCCAAACCGGAGTACCTTTCTGACATAGCACAAGTTCTTAAGGGAAAAGAGGAGATGAAGTTTCTTCTCGAGTCTCCATTTGGGGACCTTTTTAGGATACCTGCTAACAAGTCTTCTTTCTCAGGTAAACTTGTTCTTGGACTAATATGTCGTCAGTTAGTGACGAGTAAAGTGAATGAGATGTGGATGGTCTTCGGCGGTCATCCAATAAAATTCGGATTAAGAGAATTTAGTCTGGTAACTGGTCTAGAATGTGGGACATATCCCAACAAGAAAGACGTGACGGATGTGCTAAAGGTTAAAGCTGGTAGTCAAAGTGTCTGGAAAACTCTGTTTGAGGAGAAGTTTGGGGAGAAGCCGAATCCAACAGTGCATGATTTGGTGGTCTGGCTGAAGGAGGAGGAAACCATGGATGGGTGGAAGCAGCTGGCCTTATCTCTTATAATCTTGGTAGATGGTGTGATAGGGTGCCATAATAACCCCATAAGGCCTTCTGAGTTCACTGTTGAGATGACGAAGGACGTGCAATTCTTCTGCAAATACCCTTGGGGAAGGGTGTCTTTTACCCGTACTTTGGAGAGGATAGCAAAATTCCAAACCCCTTCAGATGCTCAAAAACTGATAAGGTGTGTAAAGGATGGGTCTTATGCACTACATGGATTCCCATTAGCACTCCAGCTGTTTGCGTTCGAAACAATCCCATCCCTTGCTAAGCTAGTACCTGATGATGAACCTAACAGGACATTTACTCAGAGGTCTATCCATCATCTTGCCTCACTGCGGGCAATCAGGACATCCAGCATCTTGGAGTGTGAGGCTGCTGAAGAGGTATGTACAATTGTTTATGTACGTACATTATTTAAAAAGTAAGTGTACATTCTCTAAGTGGTTAACAAACTTATTGGTGTAGGTTGAGGTAACCTATCTTGTGAAACCAAAGGACAATATTTGTCCTCCATCCCTGTCATGGGATGATGAAGTTGAGGATCCAAGAGTTGCTTACATTGAGCGACTGTTGTTAGCTGGTCATGAGTGGAAGGAGGAAGAATGGGTTGGAGGTAATGCTGCATTTCCAAAGCAGGAGCGCCCACCACAACTTGGAGAGATACGTGAGTGTAAATGTTGTTTTTATACTTTCTGATTATTGTCCCTTGAAGACCAATCAATGATTAAACTGGTCTATCGTAGGTGTGAAGAAGAGGAAAAGAAATGTACCAGCCCCGAATGCACCTGCTTTGAAAAAACAGAAATCTGTTGTGGAAGAAGAAAATGAGGACACTGCTGAGGATTGTTCTGAAGATCCCCAGTTTGAGAAGTTTGTAGTTGAACTTAGGAGGTGTTTCAAGAGGCAGGAAGCACAAAATAAATAAATGCAAGAAGAGTTGAAGAAATTTGTCCGTAAGGAGATTCGTGCTGCCTTAGATCCAAAGGTCAAAAAGACAGAACCAACCAAAACTTCCCATGCTTCACAGGGCCCAAATAAATCGGTGGTTAAGGCACCGATGAGTGTGATGAAGGCATCTAAAAAGATGTCTACAAAGAAAGTCTTCAAGTCTGGAACAAGAAAGTCTTCAAGGCTGAAGAATATAATGACATCAGTTGCTGAGATTACTCAGCTTTCTGATGGTAACTCTTCCTCTGAGGAAGATGACCAGGTATGGCATGTACGTACATTTATATATAGTATTTTAAATGTACGTACATGAAGATTAATAACTGTAACTTGTCTGCTATGGTACAGGATGAAGCCAACAATGAAGGTGGTTTTTCTGTAAATGATGGAGGAGATTTTTCGAACAGAGACGAAGGTATGGTTGACACTGGAGTAGCTAACATTTCAGTTGGTGGACCTACACCTTCCCATCAGGTATGTCGTGTACAAATATTTTTTTCAATTATTTCCAGTTGTGTACGTACACATAGGCTTCATAAGTGTATGGTATACTATGTTTCAGGATGAAGGAGCACGTGATGGTGGTGAGTCTGTCCTTGTTGGTACACAGTCAGGGACCGAGGAAAAAGCTAGTGCTGACACAGAGATGGAAGAAATTCCATCTCCTGTACCTTCAACCTCTGTACAGGTATGTCTTGTGCTAATAGTCACATACTGTTTTCCATAAGTGTACCATTATCAATTATTTTCAGTTCTCCACGTACATATAGCTTAAAAAGTGTATGGTATACTATGTTTTAGGATAAAGGACCAATTGATGGTGGTGAGCCTGTCGTAGTTGGTACACAGCGAGGGACAGATGAAAAACCAACTGCTGACACAGAGATGGTAGAAAATCCATCATGTTTACCTGCAACATCTGGACAGGTATATGGTCTGCTAATAGTCAAATGTAGTTTTCCATATGTGTACTCACATAAAGCTTAAGACGTGTATGGTATATTTGTTTCAGGGAGAAGAACATGGTGCCGGTCTTGAGAGTGAAGCAAATGTTGGGGAGCAACCAGAAATTTCTGAGGATAATGATAGAGATACATCTTCTCAGGCTGAACACACCGAGGAACCCGGTGTAAGTGTACGTACATTTGTCTTTCTTATTTCCCGTGTACGTATAAGTAATGATTGTTTCAGACATCACAAAATAGAGTATATAGCCGATGAAGTTGATAACTACTGCCACAGGTTGATGCGGGAGATGTACCCAATGTAGTTGCAGAGAGTAAAGTGGATGACTCAGTACTTGAGGACACCCTAAGGGATCCCCCTTCACCATTTGCAGTAGTTAAGAATGTAAGCTAACTATATTTTTAAATAAAATAGTGTAGGCTTGTTTAAATTTATAATCTTCTATTATGAAGGTGTTACAGGAGTTGGCAACGAAAGCCTCCATGGATGTGGATGCAGCTAATGTAAAGGAGGTAAAAATCTCGTGTTTGGTTTAAAATTATACATAGTTATTAACATACGTACATAGGATTGTATGCGTACATTTAAATAATTCTGCACGTTAATTTGAAAAGGGAGTGTTGGAGCAGCAGGGGATTGTCGACGGGGTGGAAGAACAAGAGGATTCAAACCCAGGGTTAGATGAAGCAGACACGACAGTTGGTACACTAGAAAATATTGTGAGTATCTTCCCAGTAAATATTATCATTACATTTTGAAATTGTTTAATCATGCTGTTTACAATAATACTTCTTTACAGGATGAACCAAACAACGATGCTGCAGTCAAAGCAATAGCAGTTAAAATTCCTACGCCGGTTGTACCCAAAAAAGTGAAGAAGCAAATAATTGTTGAGATGGATGAAGCCCTTCCGGAAGGTTTTAAGGAAACAACAGTCCTCGTGGAGGATGTTCCTGGACGAGCTGAAGATTCAGAGGTGGTTATAGCGGCTGGAAATGTCCCTTACAACCCCTTGGAGAAGGTTGATGCTTCCAAATTAGAGCTCTTAACCAATGTCCTCCACGGTCCGAATGTGTAAGTATCGTGCATTATCAAAATTATCCCTTAATTGATACATTGGTTTTCTATAACAACCAGTCATACTATAATATTGGATATACAGGAAGCACACTCTTTTCGGGTATCGCAAAGTGGACAACGAGTTTTTCTCCATGCTTATAGCACAAGGACAGTGGGTGGATAATATGGTAAGTTGAAATAGTACATTTGTGTACATTTTTTAAATATGCCTGAATTGTACGTACACTGACTGCCTATGCTATTATCATTTCAGGTCTTGGAAATGCTCGCAATCTTGATGTGGCACAAGAACGGTCAACAAATGATAGCAAACCGATGCGTTGTTTTGGACTCCTTCCTGCTTTATAAGCTTACTAAGCGTGCTGTCAGCTTCAGGAATTGTATAAATAAGCTTGGGTTCAAATGGGGCGACCGGCTATACGACATGGCCAATGGAATACACATACACCGTGAACCTAGTCTTAGGTGGTTCAAGGATGTCGACGTGGTATATGCTCCGATGAACTGGAAAGGTGATCATTGGGTTGGGTTGGCAATCCACCTCAGAGCCCGGAATATAGTTGTCTATGACGCTCTCATAGAACACACGCGGGAGTCTGTTGCATGGTCAAAGATGCAGCCTGTCTGCGAGATGATGCCGTACCTAGTGAGAGCGATGTGCGCGGATGTATTGCCTGAGAAGTACTCAGTTGAACCTTTTGCCTATGAGAGAAATGTTATGGTCGCTCAAAACCCAAGTACAGGAGATTGCGGGCCTTACGCAATGAAGTTCTTGGAGTTGCTGGCGTTTGGTAACCCAATGTCAGACTTGGTGAATATTCAAGAAGCAGATATGGCCACCTACCGTCAGGTGTACGCAACAGAAATCTACGAGCACGGCAAGCGCGAGTGTGGTAATCGGCGTTTATTGTAATCATCCCTGGATGTTGAATTATTTTTATTTCCTAGTACTTATTTCCTTATTTCAACAACCTAATTAGAACAACGTAATTAATTATGGAGATCCTCAAAATATTTATGTAATCGTTATAACTATCTTCTCTAAACAATCTGCACATCGTACACTTATTCAAAAACCAACATGTGTACGTACATCTTATATAACGTACGTCTTTTACACAAAGTCGATTTTTCTCATAATAAGATATCTATTTCTTTACTTACATTGATTTGACAACCCTCCCTCACTGCATCATCACTTACGTAAGATTGCATTAACTACAACCATAACTTAACCAACTAACTTCATTGTTCTTTATTTAAGAGTAGGAATTGCATTGTTTTGAAACACCAAATTCCAAGAAATGTCTACACCAAATCTACCTGAAGATTTGCTAGCCAAGATAGCCAAAAAAATGGCTGACAAATGTTGGTGGTACCTCGGACCTCTGTTAAGATCAGGGCGTGGTGGAAGAAACATTGTCTACAGGCCGGATGTCTTGAAAGATGCTAATATTTATAGCATGTGCAGTGATCCCGATGACTTCCATGCGGCAGGCCATGATCCGAATGACATCAACGCTGAAGGTCGATATAGACCCTTTTTCAAAAGGTGTCTAGAGGCTGGTAACCCGATTGCTATTTACCATGAAGGACTGCGTCTAGTTACCCATGAGTCTGACATTAAGGGCGCCATTGTACTTTTACAGCGGAATGTACCAAGGCACGCCGATGCAACCCTGGCCTGCGCTATTCTGTGCATATGCGACGGGAATGCTCACATGGGTGGTGTGTACCTACGCCTGTTCGCAAACAACCATTACGCTTTGGAATCAGAAGAAACACGTGACATGTGTGAGGAACTCCTAGAAGAAATAAAAAATTATGGAATTAGGTTAAACAACACATACGGCGCAACCTTTTCGTACCCTGAGGAACGTGGTATTCAAACGCCTCCTTGCGCGATGCTGTGTTACATCAGATCTGGACCCTTCAAGAATGTGTGCAACGTATGTTACCTCTAGTGGTGTGCGAGAAGAATTAGTCAAATTCTCTAGGGATTTCTTACGTAATATTATCTGAATTTCTAAGTTTTTATGTTATAATATGTGGCCTTTGCAATTGTACTTTGCTTATCAGTAATGAATATCTTTTTATCTACATCCTTGCTTGTTTCTCATATACTACTCAATCTTATGAATGGTTACAAATAATTGTAATATTTTATATTAAATTGAGAAACAAGTTTCTTAATGTTAGATAATGGTGCCTTGTCTACACAGGCTAACGAATTATCAGTAAATACATACTGACCTGATTTAGCCATTGATAATGACCTCTATCTTTTCAAAAAAAAAAAAAGAAACGCAAATTAATGTACATATATACGTACACATCCCTGTAATTAATGTACACTGTCTTTTGTCAGATAAAACAAAATTGCAAAAGAAAGAGATTTGGTTTTTAATGCGTTTCCCCCAGATTTAGCCATATACATGAACTCAATCTTTTCCCCTAATTCGGCGACAGACATCAACTCAAACTTTTAGTCAGAGAACGTTATAATGGTAGACATACGTACACGGGTATACGTTACTGTGTACACGTATTTTAGTTGGTTTGAAACTAGAAATATGAGAAGCGACTTTCGAGATGGTAGTAAATGATGATGCAATGCTGATTGATTTTACCTGTAATAACCCATATCTACAAGTTTTGGAGTGGTTATTTAATGCATACTGTCAAGCTCTATTCATAGAATGACCTCTATCTTTTCGCATAAATCTCCTTACTTTACGTACACGGTTTGCAATTAATGTACACTTGCATTTGTCAGATAAGAGGAACTTTAAAATAATGACACTTTATTAATGCGTTCCCCCCCAAATGTAGCCATATACATGAACTCAATATTTAGGCCCTATATAAACGATATCACACACACTAATTTATTTGCTCACATTATTCTAAAACCTCCTTCTTTCATCAACTGCAAGATTATTTCTAAACCTCCTTTGTTAACAACATGGCTTTCCCCGCAACCCCTCCAACCGAGATGTACCTTGCAATACAATTGCCAAACCCGATTTCCGTCCTCATCAACTACATGCCCGTATCCCAGACTCCCATCGAGACCCTCCGCCACTTGGTCGAAGCAAGTGACGTAAACGCAATAGTGATGGACGACTTCATCACATGGCCTCACTTCGTGCAGCCGGAGTCTCCCTTCAGGGCCTACTTCAGTCTCTTGCTGGAAAGGGGTGCGATCCCGGCTATATACCTCGAAGGTGTCCGCCAGGCAAGGAGCTTCCTAACGGTGGCCCACGGCATTACACTACTCAACTCCGTCGCTCCATCTAACCCTCTCGCCTGCTTCGCGACCGGCTTATTCCTAACTTGTACTGGCAACCATGTCGACTTTCTTCCAGTCAGCGATATGTTCTGGGTGATGACACCCACATTAACGGCAGCTCACGCAGTGGGGGAGATGGTGATGTATCACATAAGCCAGCTTCACACCGAAGGTCCTCGGCTCTGGCAACGTTCATGGATGTATGTGCACACACCGGCATGTGTTGGCCTTTGCACGTACAGTTCCGGCTGCAGAGGGTGTTTCTTTTACTGGTACGCGAGGGAGATGTGTGTCTTCTATTAGATATGACTTTGATAATGACGGATGAGGCATACAATTTTCCGGCTCATGTGTATGCTTCGGGCTCTACTTTTTAGTTTATTGCTTCCGCATCTAATATATAGTTTGTCTTTCTTGAATGTATGTCCTTCTTCGGGCACTTAATTATGAATGAATGAAGTTTTTGTTGTTTGAGGACAACAATTATGATATATGTATGTTTTCGTGTACGAACACGGGTTTCGTACAATTTGCTGATTGAAGAACCAAAAAGCTAGTAAAACGTACACTGGCAAATTAATTGTAATTGTAGACACTGTACGTATAAAATGTACGTACAATTACCCAATAGTTTATTATACAAATTCAAGTAATTAGAAAACGACAACAAGTTTATGTAGTTTTACAATACTTAATATAAATCTTGTCTTTAATAATAAGAAGACTGGGGAAAACAAATCCCCCTATCTAAAAAACGACCTGCTTGATCTCTTCCACTTCCGGTGTGTCCGGATCGGCAAAGACCTTTGACACAGGACCATGACTCACAACCTTAGGATTAGCTCTGTCGGTTAAACGCCAGAAGACGAGTGCGACAACAACATTGCGCTGACCTAGACTCCGAAAGAAGGTTTGGAATTCCAACGCCTGTTCATTGTGTGCTTCGCATTCCAAAACTTCGTTGCTACATTAGATTAAAAGAAGAATCAAGTCAGCGTTTAGATTAAAAAGTGTAAGTGAATCAAATGTGAAAAGAACATTTACTATCTATCTTTGATCTTAAAAGGAAGCTTGAGACCGTAGAAGTCTCCGGTCAAGTGGCCAACCTCCAACAACGCTCCAATGACATCTACATCAAGGGCCAAAAAATAGAAATAAACTTCTAATTTCAAAAATGTGTAAATAAAACGTAACTTAAAAAACATCTCACCGACTAAAACTTTCTTATCAACTGTTTTCTCCAAAATGTAGTCGAATTGAGTGAAATCGTAAAACGATATTGGGTCCCTTCGTAAGGCGTTAGTAACGACGGTCCGATCCATAAACCATATGCCGTAGTCATGAGATGTTGCTCTCACTGGGTCAGCGACGTTACGGACCAAGAAAGTGGTCACAATTTTCCACTCATTTTCTTTGATTCGGTCTATGTAAAAAGGAGCAAGGCGACGATCAATGGTGGCCTCGATACGGGAACGGGATCCCTACAGAATATGATATATAACAGATTTATATAGAATTGAACCTAACGTATGATAAAAAAACACAAACACGGCACAGGGAAACTACCGAATTATCTGCCAAGATAAGGCCGAGTTCGAAGATGTTGGGCGCAACAAACTTCTTAAACACTCTCACGACAAATACACAAATTGTCCACCCAGTGATCTGAGGACACAATTCGGAGATGGTGTGATATCCGTCCATCACACGGTTAGCAAGAACAATCGAAAGACTTTGTGTTTGATTGATGTAACTGCCGAATGTGAAAGGGTTTTCGTTTGAAGGAACGTGGATAAAATTAAGGAGGAGATGTGGCTTAAATAAGGAAATTCCGTAACGGACGCGGTGGGTAGTGCGAAAGTGTTCCAACGGTTGAGATACAAATGTGTGTAACCGTTTGTAACCGTTTATTGCATGAAGATTATACGTACACAGACACAACAAACACGTACACTAACAAAAACGTACACTCAGAAAACGTACATAGTTATACGATGGCAAACATTAAACGTACGTACACCGTCACAACACTTTGGTACACACTGTCCACACATAAACGTACACTGTCTTCGCGGAGACATAAAGCTTATGAGGAGAACTAAATAGGATTTTTGCAAGTCTTCTTGTTATGACCTGCTTGTCTACATCGTGTGCACTGATTCGGAATAAGTCTTTCTGTCTCTTTTTCTGAAATGACAACAACAATAAGTTAATAATCAACGTATCTTATACTCAAAACATAATGTTTGAAAAATCTGTACACGTTTGAATGATAGCACTTACCCGGTTTTCACCTCTAGATGGAATCCTTTTGGTTGTTGGTCTTCCTGGTGGTCGTCTACAGTATGGAGGAATTAGTATCAAATCCGATATATGTTGTGGGATGACAACATCCTTCGGATCCGCGATAGGTAGAATCGGTTCTTGAAAAGAATCGGAAAACGTTTGAAGGTCATACCACCATCCTACAACAACCTTCGGATCTATTCCAAACTCGATTGCAGCTGCTAGACCGTGTTCACATGGGATTCTCAACTTTGTGTACCTAAGACACGTACACGTACACTCGTCCAGAACGACATGAAAATGCTCACCTGACTTGCTTGTAACTTGATAACTCCACGGTCCAGACATCTTCACCGCGAATTTCCCTGACGCAGGCAAATCTTGGAGAAAACGCTCATCAACCTCAGGCGTCACTAAAGACTTACACCTAGCCACTTTTTGCCTCCTCGCTGCGAACCATCGCATTAGGACCTCTCGAATGAACTCTATCATGTACACAATC